TTTATATATATCCCCTAGCTAGGAATTTATTTTTACTAGGGGTTTTAGTTTTTTAAACCTAACTCTATTTTAATAGGGCTTATAGTAGCGTTAACTATAGTTATAGTAATCTTTAGCTTTTTAAGGTAATTTTTAGAGATATATCTAGTATTATTATAGATAAAGTAAGTATTACTATTCTTAAGCTTTTAATATAGGGCTTTAGGGATTATTTTATAAATAAAGGTATAACCTCGGTCCTATTTAATACCTCTAGTATTTTTATTATTTTTACTATTTTTATTATTTTTATTTAAAGTTTAGTAGGCTTAGTTAAAAGCCTTAACCGGGCGGTCTTTTATAAAAAGGGGCTATATTACGTTAACTAACTAAGCAACGTACTTAGTATATTTTTAAAAAGTAGCTATATTATTTAGGTACTTTAATATAGCCTAGTTATAAAAATATATAAATAGCTTATTATAGAAATAGTACTTTTATTAAGACTTTAGAAGCTTATTAATACGCGCAAGCTTAGTAAATATAGAGCGTTTTTAATAAACGTTTTTAAGTATAATTATAAATATATTTAGCTTATAACTAGCGTTATTTATAATAATTAGGCTAATATAAGCCGACTTAAGCTTATAAAATAGCTACTTAGCCGTAATAATCTCGTTAGAAATTAGTATTAAGTATATAAACTCCGTAATACTACCTCTAATCTTATTAATAATATACTCTAAGTAGTACTTATCCGTATTATAATTAGTATTTTCTAAGCGTTTTATAATATACTAAAGCTAGTAAGTAAACTTAAAACTAGTATTATTATTTATAAAAATAAATATATTAAGTATTTTTTAAGAGCTATAAGTAGTAAGATAAAACGAGGCTAAAGTAGTTTTATAGTTACCCTATATTTTTAAGTATGCTAGTTATTATTTTAATATACTAAGAGTAGCGGTATTTTAAATAGAGCCGGCCTAAGAGCCGTTTTTTAATTATTTTAATTTCTTAACTATAGCCATATTATTAATATAAGCTTAGGTAAGGGCTTTTTTTATAATACGGAGCTCTATAATAGTAATATATATAAGGTCGAGGTTTTTATAAGTTATTATATATAAGTACTTAGTATTATTACTTAACTAGCTAATAATAGAGGCTAGGACCTATTTTAATTAGTACTAAGTAATACGTATTTTTAATTATTATTCGATCTATTTAAGTAAGGTCTTTTTATTATTTTTAAAGTATAGTTCTTAAATAAGGTCGAGGTTAATATACTACTTAATATTCTTTTTAAAGAGGATATTATTATAGATATAAATAGGTAAAATAAGCTAATTAGCTACGTTATTAAGGTACGCTAAGTAATTAGCCTAAGTAATAAAGGATAAGAAGCGCTCTATTAGTTAGTTAAATAGCGCGACCTTAAGGTTAATAACTAAGAGCTTAGTACTTTTATTAAAGCTTATAACGCTCTATTAAAACTTATAAAAATAGTAATTTTACTAAAAACTATTAATATAAAAAGAGACCTAGCCTCTTTAACTATATTTTTTAACTATTATGTTTAGTAAAAGGGGTATATACTTAGGGGGTATTAATTACGTTACTTATATATAATTAATTTAATTAGCTATTACTTAGCTTTTTTATATATTTTTTTAATAGGGGTAGCTAGTTAGAATAGTAAGTAGTTAATTAATTAAGATATTATCGTTCCGTTTTTAAAAAATAATTAGTTAAGTAACGTTAAGTAGTATTACGAAAAGGATCTCGAAGTAGGTTAGAACGCTACTATATTAACTTAATTAATTAAAAACTTAACGTAAAAAGGGAAAAAATAAAATAGTAAATAGAAGTTAATAAGCTAGCCCTTTAAGCTTAGTAATCTAGCTCGTTATGTAATTACTAAGAGCTTAGCCTCGTAGCCTGAGGCTAAGTTATAGGGCCCATAGGGCCCTAGTACTTACTACTATAATATCTATAAATAGTTATAACCGATTCTAAGTACCTTATTATTAAAGAAAGTTAATCCTTTCTAAGTTATAAATATAAAAATATAGTTTTAATAAAATAGTATAATACTTACTTAGTACTTAAATTAAAATACTTTTTTAAGCTTATTATAAAAAAAAATAACTATATTACTAACTATTTATTATTAAGGTCCGTAAGTAATACTATAATTTTAATTATTATAATTTTAATTACTATAGCTTTAACTATAATAACTTCGTTTATAATAAATAAAAAGTCTAATTATAAATATTTTAAAAGCCTCTCTTTAAGAGCTATAAGAGCTTCTAAATTAAATTAAAATATTTATTAAAATATTAATAACTAAACTAACCTTATAATAACGATTTTAATAAAAGATTTAATAAATAATACTAAAAGCCTTATTAACGTTAAGTACGATTTACGAAACATAATAACGTAGTTATAAAATATTATTAATATATCTTATATTAAAAAGGGTATTATTAATATTAATAAGATAAATAGGGTTATATTAATATAATACCTTAGCTTCTTTTTATAATTTAAAAATAATTATTTTAAATAATATTAAAAGTTTATTAAAAAACTCTCTTAAATACTTTAATATATTTATTATTATTTTTATAATAATAAAACTCTTAGTACTTATATATAAAAATAGGTTATCTATTTTTAAATAATAATATTAGTTTATTAATAAGTTATTAAAACTATAATTTTAATAATTCCTTAATAAGGGAGAGGGTAGAATAAAAAAAAGGATAGGTAAGAAAAGGGTTAAGGTTAAATAGTACGGAATTTGAGGGTAGGGTAGCGTCTATATATACTGCGGCAATCCTCTAGTAATGCAAAACGATAGAGTTAAACAGTGGTCGTGACCGATTCAAAGGGAAAAGGATGGGCGATTAACGGGTTTGGGCAGTTGAAAAGAGAGTTGCAGAGCCGCAGAAGCGAGCCAAGCGGTGCGTTCAATATTCAAAAGTCTCGGCACTCTGCGATTGTGGAGATTTCCGCTCAGAATCCTCTGTCATTCCGCGGCGTTTATTGGCTGTCAATGATGCCATTACGCCAAAGGATGCGTTCTGCAACTTGAACCCTTGCGCCCGTCACACTCTATTCCCCCCATCAAGACTCAAGAGCCATGTTGACTCCCGAAACTCTCGTATGCCAAGGAGAGTTCTGCTCAACTTCTTTCAACTACAAACTATCGCGACTTTTCATCACAAGTCGTTGGTTCCTTCTCTTCTTCCCCTTTGACTATCTGATTCTCTCTCTCTTAATACCACCACCCAACCACCTTGCTTCCCGCCCACATGCCGAGACTAAAACCAATGCATCTCTTATCTTTTCCTGTGGGATTCGGATCGGCTATCTCAACCAATTAGTGGGGAGCTCGGCACTCTTGTCCACCTCGACCCTTAGTTCCCCCAAAGTTGCGTTGGTGCGGTATTTGTCCTTATCTCAACTCGCTTCAAGCTTCCCTTAGGGGTCTCTACTCTCCTTTCTTCTCTCTTCCCCTCAAAGTTACGTTCCATTATTGATTCGAGGTTCCCAGGTTTCCGACTGGCAAAGACAGAAACTTTCCCGCTCAAATCCACACAACCTCCAGCAATTTACCGAGTACTCCATGATTGTAAATCAACCTTGAGAGCACCCCGTCACCGGAGCCGGGCCGGTCAACTCAGGCATACGAATCCGAGATGCCACAAACCTGTGGTCCCCTATTGAGCCTATCTATCAATGAACATATCTTATCTATCGTTTAAGATATCGCAGTCTCATTCGACTTGCTTATGTCAGAGAGAAGGAACGCGTCAAGCGGCGCAAGGCAGTCTCCCCCAGTTTCTTACTACTCATGGTCGTAAATTATCCCGCCCAGTTACACAACTTGATATCGGGCGAGCTTACGCTATCTTGGCAGAATGTACAGATACTGCTCGATGTTAAGGATGTAAGACTGCACAACCATCAGCATGAGGTACTTCGGACAACAGAAGCTATCGCTCTAGGGTACGGAGTAGATGACTTCAATCTATGACTCTTCCGGAGGGAGCCGGCAAACTGCAAGTCTACATACACCAACATCCCTGACATCCCTGACATCCTCGTCTTGTCCCATGATCCCCATCTGCCATGTTCATCCCAAGGGCGCGAAGAGACGAATCAGGGCGCCAACGACATGGCTACGGTAGATGAATAAGTTGATAGGTCCCCGGTCTCGGTAACCTTGAACCTCCACACAATCCTTCGCGCCCCCCTTCCCCCACCGCGGCCTCCGGAGACTAAGGCTCCAAGAGAACGGGGCCGTTGTAGACGGCATGGGTTTGTTTGCCCCGCCAAACAACTTGGAATTCGGCCGCTATAGCTTCTCGTCCCTATCTTCCCGCCTGCACCGCACCGCCTCCACTGATAACGTCCAACACCCAATGACTCGGATCCTCCAGACAGACGACACTCGCCCTTGTGCGACGTCAGTCTGCATGGCAGCCACATGGTGAGCCATGGAAGTGCCCTGCGATTGACGTTTCTCACCTGCTTCTTCTGGTATGGTTGATGTCTCTGGGAAGGGAAGAAAAGCAAAAGGCGCGGGAAAGTCTCCGATGGAGCCCTGACTTGCCGAACATTGTTCCAGTACCAGCTACCCTTGAGGTTGTATCTATCGTAGTTCGAAGTGCCACTTGTAGTGTAAGCGGTCCGACACCGCCAAGTTCTAACCGGTCGTCATCCGATGACCAATATTGTAATGTTCATGGATCGGGCACCGATGGTGCGGTTCGTGCTGTGGCCGTAGGCCGCGTTTTCGAGGCTACACCGAGATCGATATCGATTTGACGACAGCCCTGGTAGTGACCGGCGTCTTACTCGTCACCGGCGTACTATCATCGACACCTGCGCCTGACTATAAAGAGCTGCGGGCGCATCTTGGACAAGAAGAGAAGGGATTCCAGAGACTCATCCTCACGCCAAGCTTACCCCGGATTCCCTCTGACTGGCCTTCTCCATTTACAATGGCTCGGTGGTTCCTATCTTTCGTTGCTGGAAGCGCCCTTGCGGCGGCTTCTGGCCTTCCTATGAAGCTCGAGACACGGAGCGCAGTCACCTCCCGCGTGTCCAACATTCACATCACTCTTGAGCAGCCCATCGAAGAGACCGTCACATTCACCTATGGTTCATGTCGAGGTGCCTCCATGGGCGATGCCCACCACACCATCGTCAAGTCAGAGGTGCGCGACTCTCAGCGCCTCGTCTGGGTTCTCCCTGAAGATGCTGCCACCGATGGTTGCATCTCCGCGTGGAGTATCTCCGGCGAGTTGAAGGGCAGAAGTGAGCCCCAGACTCTGCACCACAAGTGGAAGCGCCGGGCTCTGAAGAGATGTAAGTGCGCTCATGATGTTGTTGTATTGTCTCATAATTTAACGCGCCATAGCTATTGAGATGAACAACGGCACCGGCATTGACACGCTCGGAGCCTGGTTTGAGGGCGTCAACCTCCTCAAGGACAAGGAGCCTACCACGGTGGATGTCGACGCTGCCAAGTCCAAGCACGTCGCCATCGTCGGCGCTGGTATGGCTGGTCTGATGAGCTACCTCGTTCTCTCACAAGCCGGCATGACCAACATCAGCATCATTGAGGCTGGCCAGCGTCTGGGAGGCCGTGTTCACACCGAGTACCTCAGTGGTGGTCCTTTCGACTACTCCTATCAGGAGATGGGTCCCATGCGCTTCCCCGAGCACTATGTTGATCCCAAGACCAACACCACTTACAACATCACTGACCACCAGCTCGTCTTTCAGCTTGCTGCAGAGATGAACGAGCTCAACAAGCACGACAAGAACCTCAGCGTCGACTTCATCCCCTGGATCCAGAGCAACCAGAACGGTCTCTCTTATAAGAACGGCATCAAGCTTCCCAACGGTCTGCCCCCTACTTTGGCTCAGATCGCCGCCAACTCTTCGCTGGCTGTCGCCACGGTCTACGATGAGTCTACCAACACCCTCAATGAGAAAATCGACGAGTATCTTCCTGGTAGCGACTTCTCTGTCCGTATGGCTCAAAACATGTTCAAGGCCCACCGCGAATTCCTCGACTCTGGTCTTCAGGGCCTTGGTGGCGATGTCTGGTCCGAGTATGCCTTCATGGTGAACTACCTGAAGGGCTCCCTTAACTCGACGGATGCCCTGGGCAGCTACACCGCCACCTCATTCTGGGACACTCTCTACGAGGGCATGTACTTCCAGGCTGCTTCCTACAAGACCATCGACGGCGGTCTCAGCCGTCTCCCGCTGGCTTTCCACCCTCTCGTTGACGACATCACCACCATGGACCGCAAGATTGAGCGCGTGCAGTTCGACTCAGAGAACTCCAAGGTCAACCTTCAATGGCGCGAGTCCTTCAAGAACCAGACTTTTGAGACCTCTGAGTACGACTATGCCCTGCTGGCTGTCCCCTTTTCCATCATCCGCAAGTGGCGCCTCCCGTCCCTGCCTTTGACCATCTCCAACGCCATCAAGGAGCTCCCTTACACCAGCGCCTGCAAGGTCGCCCTCGAGTTCTCTGAGCGCTTCTGGGAGCACTACGAAAACCCCATCGTCGGCGGTTGCAGCACCACCTCTGACATTGCTGGTATCGGTTCCACGTGCTACCCGTCGTACAACATCAACGGCACCGGAAAGGCCACCATGTTGGCCTCGTACATCTCGGGCGACTGGGGCCACCGCTGGGCTTCCGTCTCGGAGGAGGAGCACGTCCAGTATGTTCTTGACGCCATGGTTGAGATCCACGGCGAGAACACCCGTGAGCTGTACACGGGCAAGTATAATCGTCGCTGCTGGGTTCTCGACCCTCTCGAGAGTGGCAGCTGGGTCAGCCCCGTTGCTGGCCAACATCAACTTTACATCCCCGAGTACTTCAAGACGTACGATAACGTAAGTTATGACCTGCAATTTACTGGATAACTGAGCAAAGACAAGAGTTCTAACGTAGAAATCAGATGATCTTCATTGGCGAGCACACCTCCTACACCCACGCTTGGATCGCCTCTGCTCTCGACTCTGGAATCCGTGGTTCCGTTCAGTTGCTGCTCGAGCTTGGTCTGGTTGACGAGGCCAAGGCGGCTGTCAACAAGTGGATGGCTCGATGGATCGATATCGTGAGTTCAAATTCTAAACCGCATGGTGATAAGGTGGTCCTAACAAAGCTCTCTAGTGATGAAGAACAATGATAATCAAGAATCGGTGGAAACCCAAAAGCAAAGGGTTCAGGAAGAGTCGATTTGTCGCCAAGAAATGGCAGTACATAATCTTACATAGTTTGACGATTAACGAAGAATAGATCAATGATTCCTCATCTATTGTTGTCTTATAGAGCCGCCATCTGCATCGTGTCTGCATTTGACCGCAGGCGTCGAGGAATAGAACCACCAACGATCCATATTCGCAAGGATCCCCACAACATAAGAGACGACAACCCACATGGCCGTACCCCCTGTCGAATGCAGCATGCAGCCGAGCGTATCAAAGTAGATTTTGGGCTCAGCCTTGCAGATATGGTCATCGTTCGACACCGCGTCGCACGGTTGGTTGGGACAGGGGTTCGGCCAGACCCGGGACACGATGGTTCGGCATCTGCTGACAATGCCGCACTTCTGCAGCGCCAGGCTGATCCTCTAACAAAGTTCTCAAGTTGCACTAGCAGTGGCCTGTTTGGTATCTAGCATGTCTGTGCGGGATATTTTCCGCATTTCAGTATCCCAACCAGCAGCAAGAGTTCTCGTATAGGCATCAGAGTGTTCATCTCTTCTTTGAGCCATGCTACATACAACTATCTTCCGCCTGGGCAGAGCATATTTGTCAAGTTAGCTCGGCGACTTAACCGAGCAGCTCATTCTTTTCCTCCCGGAGTCTGCGTTCGCTCGTCTCGAACAATCGCGGAACGCCAGACTGCGAAAATGGCACATCATCCCGTACGATCTTCGCCAAACCCTTGGCTGTCAATAGGATGAATGACATGCCATGCCCGTTGAATCCCGCGCAGATGAACTGCCCCGGCTTTGAAGGTACAGGCCCGACATGAGGGTATGTATCGTTGGTGTACTATGCCCGTTTGTGTCAGTCATTCGCACCTCCATATCATCATTCGCGTCCACTAAATAGGTTCGCGGGGCGCGGCAAAACTCACCCCCATGATTCCTGTCCAGATGCTGTCAACTTTTGCCCCGCTGTTCTCCCACCCACGGAAGTTCCGCTGCATGTGGTCGTCAAAGTAATGAGCCGCGGGCTCGATGAGCTTCGAATCGTCCCAGACGTTGTACCATTCGTTGACGCGCGGGATGACTTCGGTCCTAGCACCGCCCACGACGATGCTCCCATCCGGTCGTGTGACTTGGTAGTCGTATAGATTGGCTCCGTGCCGTAGTGAGTATGTCATGGGGAGATGTGGATGCTCGGCGCCATCAGGAGCAGCCACATGGCTGCAGATCCCGCGGACGGGGATGATACGGTTCTTGTACTCTGGAAGGATCGTTGACGTGTACCCGTTGGAAGCGTAAATTACCGTCTTTGCCTTAATGACACCTCTGGGCGTGGTTATGGTCCAGAAGCCGCCCTCTTGGGAGTCGGAAACTTTGATTACGGGCGTGTGAGTGTGCAGCTGGGCTCCCTTGTCGACAGCCTGAGACAGGAGGAACATAACCAGCTTGTAGGGCCTGAAGGGGGATCAGCTTTTACGCCGGCGCAGGCAACAGAATGATTGCAGACTATACCAGATCGAGCCCGCCTGGAACGAGAATACAGCAGTCGCATCCTTGACACCGGAAAATGTCGCGGCTTCTTTGCCTTCAAGATAGTGAACGAGCTTTGCGGTCGGCGAACTCCATTGCAGGAGCTCATCTAGGCCTTCCTTGATCGGCTTTGCAAGTGCCGGGTCTCTCAAGACAGCCATGGATGTAGTCATCCGGAAGTCGCAGTCAATTTTCTTTTCCTGTACGAGATCTCTCACGGCATGAAGATTGGCAAGCTCGAACAGCGCCATCTCATCCGCAGTCTCTTGATCATATCGTTTGGCGCGGGCGGGAAGTCCAGCATAGAGATCCGGCCTCACGTGGCCGCCTTGACCATGTTAGATTGGGAACCATCTATACTGTGACGGAAGAGTGCCTACCGTTGCGGGCTGTTGCACCGGAGCATGCTTGCCTGGCTTCGAGGATTGTGACAGTCGGACGTGATGAGGGATCAGTGCCATCCAAGAGGTAGTACGCCGAAGCGGCGCCTGAGTATCCGGCACCGATAATGACAATGTCCTGTTCCGCCGGCAGGGTCTCGGAGCTTTGGTGGCTGTCTAGAGGATGCAGATCCTTGCGCCAGTATGGGGTGATGGCGTTAGGGACTGGAAACGGAGTCTCGGACATTCTAGAGAACCTTGAGTTGTGTCGTGAACGACCGAGGTAGATGACGTAGATTCAACACTATGAGAACACAAACAAGTACGAAATGCGAGTCTTCGAGATGAGATTGCTATTGAAATTGGTAATATAGTTAAAATAAGGTGACCACGAGGTAGACAGACATCGGAGTGTGTTGGGTGTAAAGATGCTCCGAGAGAGATAGGCAAGTAAATGCCGAAAACGCGGGGTCGTGTCTACCAGCTCCGACTCGGCGCCGACCGGGATCTTGCACAGACCCGGGCCGGCGAAACCGGGGCCTTGCCGGGAGTCGCCTCGGAAGGGCTATTGTCTCACTCCGGGAATGTCGGAGGCACTAAGGCAAGGTCATGCAGACGACTTAACGGGGCCAACTGGGCAAGTTTCACCCCATTGCCCTTGTTGATAAGTTTGGTTAAACTTCAACCTCAACGAACACTGCCAGTGACATTCAAACCTTGCACGCTTCCTACCCACTCTCGCCACTCAACTCTGGAGATCACAACCCCTTGTTTGCAAATTACCTGACTCGCGCAACCGCACGTTCTGTGACCTGCCCCAGCCCAGCACACTAACATCGTTCACTCGGTACCGACGCCTTGGGCATCCGTCACGCTACTGCAAAACGCTACGACAATACCTTTTGGGGCCTCATAGATGAACGGCATGCCACGCCCCTGACCCTGCACCTGTCATCTGTCAAGTTTGGGTCTCTGCGACCCTTCGGAACTTTCACGATGGCTCACCGCCGACATGTCAATCTGTTTGACGGGCCACGAGGCTTGAAACCTTGTTGGCGGGGAATGCCCTCCGGCCAGGGGATGCGCCATTGTTGCTACCTGACCGAGCTCACCGCTCGTTATCAGGTATCATCGTTGTGAACTTTGCTAGATTTCCCGGTTGAATTGCTTTCAAATCATTCAGTGTCAATCCCTCTGCTGCCTATGATCGTTGATGAGGGATCCGAGACTAGGTAGTCTTTAGCGTGTAGGTCAATGCTAACTTTGAGAAATTGGCTCGTCTCCGCTCCTCGAACCACCACCAAACGATTCCGACTTGTCCCCTCTAAAAGTCGCAAGGCGTGACGATAAACAGCTTCAAACAGCTCTCAAGTCCTCAACTACGAACTGCGGCATCCATGTCGGCCAGACCCGACCATTCTCGAGTCATGCTTATTGCGCGGGGCAGAATTTCCATCTTCTCACCCAGAGGCCCTCACGCATCTGTGGCTTTGGGTCTAGCTCATATGCTGTACTACCTTACACATAATTTCTCATCCAGATGCGGATACCTAGCCTCGATGAAGAAGAAACAGGCCACATCAGGCGGCTTTACTGTGTAGTGCTTTAGTGCTTCACGGTCAATTTTGATTTCCCGAGCTCACTTGTATCTTAATGACGTGAGTTTTCGCTTCAGTCTTTGACCGGCGAGTTTCCTCAATAGCGAGTCTGTCTTGTGCATGAACCATGCGTCCGTAGCAACGTTGCTGCTATCTATGAATCGATGACGCCATGGAGTCATGGAATGTGCCCAAACGTTCCTCCAGATCGGATCTGGTTAATCCAACTACAAGCTGCATGTCTCCATTGCCCAAACAGGCACTCGGTCACTCATCGGGGCCTGATTTGGAACAGAGGACGTCAAAGATACTGCAGGGACCTCGTCGACTGCCGATGCCGCCAGCCAAATGCATCAAACAACCCCACGACTGTCGCGTGGCTGGTTGACTCCCCGTATTCTTGGATATTGGAAGTGGGGAGAATTCCTTCCAGATCGGTCGATGTGCATTCCGGTGCTAATTAAGTCTCATTAACTTCAAGCATAGCATCGTCGGTCCAAGCATCCAGTCAATTAATAGAAAAGCCAAGAACAGCGTGACGAGCGCTGAGCTCACCACACAATCATTAAACCTGATGGATGCAATACCTGATTGAAGTCTAGTCGAAATCTTGTTGAGATTTAGGTATGCCGAAAGACGCCCCCACGCTCGATCTGTCCAATGTTACTTTTCCCACCTCAGTCATAGTGGCTTGCCTCCGAATATCCAATTGTCTTGCTTTAGCAACATGGATTAATTAGATGACGTTCTCGAACACCTTGGCATTTCTGTTTTAGCCGACGTTTCGCAGAAGCTTGATCTCATTCTGCTCACGTACATCCTCGTGGTCGTTCTGGAGACGAGGACTTACTTACATATGAACCGACCGTCAAATTTCATTCATCACGGGTGATGCAAACAACTCACTCGCATGGACGGCTTAAATTACCGGCATCACAAAGAGGCTTTCATACCTTACCCAGAGACAATTCTCATAGCTGCCGCAGAAGATTATGCATGCAATCGTATTCATAAGTAGTCTTGGCTCCACATCTCACGCCGGGCGTGCAAGCCACTCAATAACACGTGGGCTCTGGTTGCAGTACCTAGCTCATCTGACGATGCGTCTCTTTGATAGATCGGACTCCTTGTCCGAGGAGTATGGTGTGCATCAAACTATAAGGAAATGTGTGATTGACTTGGGTTCTCAATCTAGATATCACCTAACCTGAGCTACTGAACTCGTCAAATTGGCGGGGCTTTGGAGCCTCCGCGCCCGCTTCGTAACCGAACTAGGTATGTCATATCTGTCGTGCAAGTGAGACATTGACGTTATGGATGGTACCAGAGGGATTGATGGGACCGACAGATCCCATGTAGCTTCGAACGTCATGCCTGATATGAAATACTTACGGCTGTCTTGTGAAATTCAGCCAGATGGCGGAGGCTTCATGTCACCTCATTCCAGGTACACTATTATTAGCGATACACAGACACGCGTTTTGACCAGTTCCTCGCGTTGACTGGATATCTTGACTAGCAGTATATCAAGATCCACTACGGAGTACAAGCTTACTACCCATTTGAATGCAGTCATGCAGTCATGCATACAGTACATAAGCTACATCTTAAGAGCCGCAATCACTTCGCCGACTCCATGGCAAGTGGTAGCGTCATCGTATGCAAGATGGGTTCTGAAGAATTCAGTTTCACATATGACGCCCATTGGCAATGTTTGTGAAGAATGGCCGATACCCACATCCGCACAGTAGCCTCGGGGTTTGTTCTACGCCGCAGCGGAGACTCCATCCTCGACAACTCGTGTTCACAGAAAAGTCATCTCAGTCTATCGGAAGTGGTAGCTCATTCGAGGTCAACGGCCCGACCCTTTAGTAGATGCGCTGGATTATCATGCCTCGTACGAGATGTTGGGTCGAAGTGGCAGTAAATCTGGACCCTAAGCATCATTTGCGATACGATGCATATACGGTCTCCGCAAGCCTGCGTATACAGTATGTTGCTCGACATCTTGCCTCGCTTACCTAAGGATGAGGAAATACTAGCAGATGGTTTCGCAAGTTGCTTTGAGCGATAGCCGACCAACGAGATCGCGAATCGCCATTGGTGTAGTTGGATACGGATTCGTTACTTTCGTGTCCTGACTATGCCTTGGATCGGCGTATATGTGATTTCCAAGTCCAAGTCAGTCGCCATGATCAGTAATCTATCATCGCCAAAGCGTTTGGACTGTCAGTCACATCTTGACCTGCAAAAGACTAGATGCCGTGTTCGCTACAATGCCCGCCCCGCCATACGCAGGCCCTCATCCGTATTGAATGCGACGTTGAAAGCACTGTGTCAGACGCATATGGGTCTTAGAGATAGGGTAACAACGGTGATGAAGCCACTTGCCAAGTGTGCTTGGTCCCCGAAATTGTGGAGGCCATGTAGCGACTGGAGCTTCCGGGCAGATGCGCAACGGGCCACCGGCTGAAATTTCGCATTGATGCGCGATGAGCGGGAGGCCGGCGCACCTGGCAAGCAAACATCTTTCGTTAGTTATTACTGCTGGGAGCTAACTGTCATGGGCAAGGGCGTAGCGGATTCAAAGAGATTTTCGACGCCGTCGGCTTTGAAAAAGTCAAAGTTTTACCCGCCCGTCATTAGCTAGGTTCAGGTAAGCCCAATTTGGTCGGGTGCAGCCCCATGGTGACTTGGCCGGGGAAGAAGCCGTGCTGGCATCTCCTTTCTTCTCTCAAGTTGCATCATGTCGTACTCGTGGGTGCCATGTGGCTCGTGGAAAGCGCGTGTGGTGTTGAAGGTTGCAGAAGTCCAAGCAGCTCTAGACCGGACGAGCTTGATGTTTGCTTGTCAATTACAAATTGGCAAACGGGCGAAACATTTCTTCTTCCCAGACTGAAAATATGCGAGAGCAGCAACAGAACAGGCATGTTTTTTGCTTAGACAGGGCCTGGAACGATGTTTGCTTGTCAGCATGTGGTGTCGAGCACCTGGCTCGTGTGATGCATCTCGCAGGTTGGAACTGGACCCCCCGGAGATTTCATGCAATTGTCTTCGTGAGGACCCAAAATCGAACCAAAAGCCATGGTCACACCTGCATTGCATCAGGTCTCACTTTTGGGACGCGCAGAAGCAAATGAAACGGCCGCCACAATATCGAAGAGCGCCGCAAGTTGAGGGTCTGGTTTCCTTTGGTGGCGTCGAAGAAAATCAATAAGAGCAGCAAACATTTTCTCCTCCTCCCTATGGAACTTGGGGGACAAATCCCTTGGCGAAATGACTTATCACATTCCATTTCGTTACGCCTCGGTCTATTTATCAACCCGGACGGAGGGGCAGTGGGATCTATCAATCCGCTGGTCACCTAGGTACGTTGGGCGGGTAGGCTCAAAATTCCATGTGAGAATTGGCGCCTGCATTTGAAATTGCGCTTCGGTCATCCGCCGACCACCAGTGCGATCATCTCCTCGGTGTTCAACAGCTTCAAGCGGCATGTTTGCGGCCGCCGCGTGGAGAGATTCATATTGCAATGTTTGCATTGTAATTTGACACCTGTCACAAATGACAAGAGGCGGGCACCTTGGAAATTCGCGAGGGCCTTTTGGCCCCCTACTTTACTGTATAGTCTTCTGTTGGTCCATCGAGATCTTGAGAGATCTTCATCACATCACTGACGGGCCCAGTGGGTGGGCTCTACGAAGTACATACTACGGATACCTGTAGGTGGAGGTCACATTGACAATCTGACAATTGCGTACGGAAAGACTCTGATCCGCTAACGGTTTCCGCTTCGAGGCTCGAGAAGCAGGCCACTGTCAAGGGTTGTATGCGGGGTGGTTCGGGGTTGTTGATGAGCTTCGTGCCGCCAGAGCCCGGGGAATCCCGACTACGGACAGTGTCGACACGCGATGGCGCTTCCGTCTCAACACCATTTACTCTAAAAGAGAAGATGAACAAGATGAGGCTGGAAGATCGTGGCGTGACGACATGCAGTGAGTAAGCTTCTACAATCGCGACATGTGCGGATCCTCCGGCCGGGATGGAAGACGGATCAGAAGCCCTGGCAGATGTTCCATTCAGCAGACTTTTTCATCGAGCACATCCGTACATATGCGCTGCAGATTCCAGTCACAAGCGAAAGGAACCACCCCGTTCGAGCACGCAGTAGTGCTGTGTCTCACCGTAGCCGAACTGGCCAGTGCGAATAGCAAAATAAGACAACTCCACTCAATCCTTTCCGGCTCAAGTTGAAACTTGACGAAGAAAGGGTATATGATTGCAACTCCACCAATAGATATTGTATCAGTTGGCAAAACTCAGTTTTCTTTCCGACGTCGTAATGGGAATTCGCGTTGAGATTTGAGCGTAACTTGTGAGACCCAACAGACGACGAACGGTATTAAATACAACCCCCCCCCCCCCCGGCGCTCCAACAGAGTGGGCAGAAAGCCGAACAAAAAGCCGTCCATGACACACGGACGTTGTTCCCCCCCTCCAGGGAAATCGGGAAGTGAAAAAGTGCTCCTGGGTAAACTGGAGAAGCGTCACAGTGCTTGTGGTTATGTGCCGCTCAACCCCTTGTCGCCTCTGTTTCCCCCGTTTTCTCCCTCTGTCTTTCTCTCACTCCTCGCTGTCACCCCAAGCAAAGAAGCAAAGCCTTGCATGGCATCAAAGTACTTCCAAGGATCAATATTGAGACCATTGGGCGAAGCCCCGTGGACCCTCAATTAGGCATTCCGGAAACCGCAAATCTCATCATACGAGTTTGCAATTGCAACTCGGCAATTCCTTGCTGTGGCGTGTTCTCTACTCCACTGTACATCGCGTGTCGCTGACGTCTGTTAGGAACAAGGGACGAGCTAGAGGACTGCAAACTCAGAGTCACCTCCAACCGCCGCCTCCATCGCAGCCTGGGGGGTTCTGTCCGCATGCTCAGGTTTCCCGTCTGCCTTGCTCCAGCCTCTGTGAAGAGAAGGATCCGGGCTATTCCGTGCGCCCGGTTACATCTGACAGACTGGGTAATAAGCCAGCGTACCTGTCTCCGCGAGATCCTCAATCACCACTCTGCAAAGCTACGGAGTACTGCTTGAGACCTTCAGTTTGTTTCCCTCGAGGCAGCTCGGACTGCATGCAGCAAAAGTTGCGCGGAATATCTACCACAAACCCGCCTCTTAGCGTACTTCTAGAAGACCCCCGGAGCTCCTCGTTACTTCGGTTTGCTCGGCAGCTCACGGGCGGTGTCCCACTGGAGAGGCTTCGAGTCACCCTCAGGGTCCAGTTGATACCCCTACCGGTGTCTCCCTAGTGCCTGTGAGATCCTGGTATCCCTGATTTCCCGGTCTTGTACCACCCGGCGATGGACAGGGCTGACTTTGAACCGCTCCTCGGTTCATCGCGAACGACTAGCTACCATTGGCGCTGTTCCTTGGATTAACCATTAACGGCGCCCAGTGTCTTCCTCTATGGGCCCCCCACCCTTGAATCCATGCATCTATGGCCCATGAGAGCCGTGTTCAAATGAGGAACCAGCTTTCTTTTTACACTACGGCATACAAATCATACGATGTCTATCCGTCGAGACGGGCGGTGCCTGATTCGAAGCATGCAGACCGCGAAGACTCGAGCGCACGCGATGATGGAGCACGACGAGGGGGAGGGGTGAGACAGGATTGAGCTTTGTGTCTATCGGAGTGGTTCTACGGGGTACACGAAGGCATCTTGGGCTGGAGTTGAAAGCTTCTATATCTTTCCTCCGAGGCCCGAACCCGGCGGCGAGAAAGACGTCTGCATTTGTGTTCCCAAACCTTTGGATCCGGCTCTCCTTCTATCACGCAGACGTTTACCCACTTCTCCGTAGCGTTTGTGCATTTCTGTTGATACCCCCTTTAACATTTATCCCCGTTCCGGTCTGCCCCTAGATATCCATCCTTGACCCTGTATCTGGGTACGAGAAGTATCTACTTGAGAACCGTGAGGTTTCCCATTTTTGGCTACCAAGTTACTATCTGCCATCAGTCAAGGGCTACAGAACAGTATTCTCAATCCGAAGCTAAACAGCAAATTCTCTGTGCAGAACCATCACAACCATGGCTTTGACATACAAGCAATCACAGCTCGTCAGGGGTACGATCCCGGCTCTGCGTGAGCATGGCGAGACCATCACGACCATATTTTATGCCAACATGCTGCGGGCTCATCCTGAGCTTCATGACCACTTCAACAAGGTCAACCAGGCCAACGGCCGCCAGCCCCGTGCCTTGACCGGCGTCATCCTTTCCTTCGCCGCAAACCTCAACCACATCAGCGAGCTCATCCCCAAGCTGGAGCGCATGTGCAACAAGCACTGCTCCCTTGGAATTCTACCGGAACACTATGACATCGTGGGAAAGTACCTCATCCAAGCCTTTGGACAGGTTCTGGGTCCTGCCATGACCCCAGAGATCCGCGAAGCCTGGACAAAGGCCTACTGGATCCTCGCAAAGATGCTCATCGGCCGCGAGGCCCAAATGTATCGCGAGTTCGATGATGACAAGTGGAAGGGATGGCGCAAGTTCCGCATCGAAAGAAAGGTTGCCGAAACGGACGACATCTTCTCCTTCTACATGGTGCCTGTCGACGGCAAACGGCTACCTGACTTCTACCCAGGTCAATACACCTCGATCCGCGTCACAATCCCCGAGCTCGGCCACTATCAGTCACGACAATACTCGCTCAGTGACTCACCACGACCGGATTACTACCGCATTACCGTCAAGCGTGACCAGGGCGTCAAGGTCGGCAAGGGAGCCGCCACCTTTAACCTCAACCCTGGTGTCTTTTCCAATCATCTCATCGATGAGAAGAGACCGGGCGACATTGTCGAGCTGACGCATCCTACTGGCGACTTCTTCTTTGACACCCACGCCGCCGGCACTCTGCCCGTCGTTCTCATCTCCGCCGGCGTCGGCGTCACGCCTCTCATGTCCATCTGCAACACCATCATCGAACGCCAGGCTATCCGCCCTATCTCATGGATTCACTGCTCGGCCCGGGCAGCTCCCTTTGAGGAGCATATCCGCAAGATCGCTTACAGCCGCGCCAACTTCATCACCAAGTTCTTTCGCTCCCAGATCGCCGATGTCGAAGATGACGACTCCCTCTCCTCCTCTAGCGACTTTGGCCTCCGCATGGACCTTGCACGGATAGCGCCCGAAGAGCTCTACCTCAGTCATGGTGGTGCAGAGTACTACATCTGCGGTCCTGAAATCTTCATGGTTGAGATGTCACAATTCCTCATTAATCAGGGTGTCGATCCCAACAGGGTCAAGTTCGAGCGGTTTACTACGGGCGATTTGGAGTTCAAAAAATGAGGTCACCACATGCTACTACTAACGTCTTGACCTTGTTGCTTTTACGGAGAATGAAAAGGGTTCTGAGGGCTGGTTCAGGGAACGGATGAGACGGAGTTTCGTGAAAGTGGTCTACCTTATCTGGGAAATGGGTACAAAAACAAGTACAGCAACTACACGAACGGTAACGGTTATGCCTTTCTACTTACTTATTGAAAGATGCAAGAGCAGAAAACGAATGGTATTTTATGGCTCGGGGGGTTCAGAGTGTACGTGTGTCTCAACTGCTATCAAGAGCGTAATACTACAACTCATAGCCTCACATGGCGCTTTGGTTGAGACCGGTCCAGAGATTTCATGTTTTCAGATTTGGCACGTCCTGCAAACTCGACAATGATGATCGAGCCGATTCAATACCTCGATTCCCGATGTCAAATTGTACGCCAGCTTCACTGCCGTTGTACAACATCGCTGGTTCAACGCCGGGTTGACAATGACTGATTTCCCTCCATCATACGAGAAAACTGGACTGGACGCAGTAAAATGCAACCGCCTGACTCGCCACTATGTATCTTGCTCCTCTGAACCCCTCACAGAGGGTCCGACCCCCCAGAACTCCCTATGGAGTTCCTCAACTGGGGTCTGGAGAGAATCGCTGGGGTTCTGGAGTGGACAACCTGTGTCTTACTCGCATCCATATCCAATAACCCACGGGGAAATGTCAGTTGGTTCATTCGTAAGAGCTCAGGAGAAGAGAGCCACAATATCACCACCTCGCTAGATGTTCGCAGCCAAAGTCGCACACAGCACTCCGGGATGCGGACAATGTGCCGATGGAAATCTTAGTATTCTGATGTTATCTTCGCCAACACCCATTAATCATATTCTTGTCGGCCATCTGGTCGGTGTTCCCGAAAGATAACAGATAATTAATATGTCTCGATGAGAAAGCCCTTCAGGGCCACCTCCACTGGTAATAATGAAAAACGCTGCTAGCGCTAAGAACAGCCGAAGTTCCTCTATTCTCTTCGGTCCACCTATATTATAGATAGCGTGGGTCAGATCCAACGGTCAGTCGCCTAGGTCACTCACGCAGAAGAATCTAAGAGATTTCGGACTCCGTAGAGATCAATGATTCAAATGAAACTCCCAAGGCGTTACCTACTATTCATAATCTACAATTTATTAATAATGTATATATTTTAACGGTTTTGTTATAGTACGACCTGGTGCGAATGGAAGGATTATATAGATATAATAAGTATAAGTATTTTCCTCTCATTATAAAAAAATATAAATAGTTGAATACAACTATAAGACTAAACAAAATGAATGCTAAGACAAATTGTTTGTAAATTACTAAAGGAGAGTCTTGCGTCATCAACGCTTCAAGCTAGTTTCTTAAGCTTACGAAAATATAAGGACCACGCTGCCTCCAGTGGTTGTTGCGATGTTTTGTAAAGATCCGACGACGCTACTAGCCACATAACTTGATCCACCCCCTGCGCCACCACCCGAAGTGCTAGAACTTCCTGTGGGATTCCAGGCAACTGAAGGTGCGCTACCGCCCCCGGTATAGCCACCACCGCCACCTCCGGAAGCTCCATTGGCGGTATTGGCAACTGGGTTGTTCAATGTGTTGAGTACACCGTTTCCGCCGTTTGAACCATTGCCTGGATTACCGCTGACGATACTAGTGACGGATCCTGAAGCGCTTCCGGCGGGGCCTGGACTGCCGATTGTGCCAGGATTGCCGCCACCCGAGGTAGCTGCAGTACCGTCACTTGCAGTTACAATCCAAGTATTTCCCTGAGCTCCAGCATTACCAGGACCGTTCCGTGAACTGTACGACAAAGATCCGGCTACAATTACGGAACCAGCACCGCCTCCTCCACCAGCAACTGCGATCAGATCGCCAGCAAGACGGATGGCCGACGCTCCGCCCCCTCCACCAGCCAAAGCGCTAGCGGTTCCGCCGTTGCCGTAGGCGCTGGTACCAGCGACACCATCGCCGCCAGCGCCACCTGCGATCCCTGATATGATTTGACCAGCAACAACTGGGAGAGACCCAGATATAGACGCTCCGTACCCCGCGGGGTACGCATCGGTAACTCCGCCTCCAGCACCACCAACGACGGCAAAACGTAAATTCGTAGCGCACGAGGGAACTGCAATAGATGTGCTAGTGCCAGTGGCACCAGTCGCTTGGAGAGTGTACGAAGAACTGGTGACAGTACACGATGTGGTCGAAGTCGACGTGGTACTAGTAGACGAGATAGACGGTGTCACAATGGACAGGACGGTCGTTGTTCCGGCAGGGTTGGTCTGGGGCAGGGTTGTCACGCCCGCCTGTGTTCCGGTTGAGACGACTGTAGTGATGAAGCCTGTGACCGGCGTTGCGGAAGCGGAAGTGGTTGAAGGGTTGTTGTTGGCTACACAATTCGTATCCTCTGGGTACAGGTAAAAGGGGAAACTCGTCGTGTTCTGACCTCCCGGGGGTTGGAACAAGATCGTCATAATAGACTCCTGCCTGATCTGCCCGTACACTGCCCGATAAGGATATAGCAATCCTGCTGTCAGAATACGGGCCGAGCATGTATAGCCGCCTCCATAGTTTGCAGCAAGGGCAAGGCTACCACTGTCTCCAGCATTCCCGCAGGAAAACGCCTCACCATTGCCAAGGAAAAGGCTCACCGCATCATCTCCAAGCGTACAGATGCGCCATGAACCAGAGAGAGGTGGCTCGAAGTATCCAGTCCATGTCGCCGTGAAATTGTTGGCGTCAACCCTAAGACCGGCAACCTGTCGGGTGGATCCAGCAGCGTATCCAAAGTTTCCGGTGTTGAAGTATGACATGGAGAGATTGGTCGTTGTTGATTGCCCGAGTGGAGTGATGCCTGTAAGATTGGGTACTGTCCGGTTGTCGGGAGCACCGTACCCACTGATGAAAGGATTAGGGTACGTTCTGACTGTGAGACCTGTTCCAGCGCCAGAACTACACAAGGGAGTGCAGGCAGCTGGCGCAGTGGTTGCTGATGTGCTGGTAGTGCTAGTTGTGGAGGGTGGAACAAAAGTAATGATACTAGTTGTGCCGCCTAATCCAGTTGGCGTGATTGTAATCAGTCCAGTCTGCGTGCCGGTCGAAACAACAGTCGTGAGGAACCCAGTGATCGTTGTCGAGGAAGATGTTGTAGAAGATGTTGAAGTAGTCGTGGACAAAACGTCTGGGTCAGCTGCATAAACACATCGCGCCCCGTCATTGAGACTGGAAACGGGACCAGCCGTAATGAGTCTGGGCTGGCCTGAGTTGATGTTGATTTCGTAGATATTCCCGCTTCTATTATCGGAGGCATAGAACTTGCTATTGCTCGAGGCGTATAGAGCTCCGAATAGTTCGTTGCCATTGATTGCCGCGTAAGTTCGCACAGTAGTCCAAGTATGATCCGTCAGGCTCCATCTAATCAAAGCGGACCGCCCATTGGTATCGGGTGTAGCTGTGGTGAGGCTGTATAAGTAATCCCCACCACCAGGCACAAAGACCCAGTCGGCGATGGCTTCATCGGTTGTTGGTAATGTGCTTGTTCCGGAAGCAATTTCTTGACCGAACGTCGACGAAGCTGGGTTCATATCAATTTGCACCCATTGCTCGCCATTCGAACTGGCCCAATAGCGACCCAAGATGTCAATATCTCCAGCGTTGTAATAAATATTAGATGAAAGAGGCGGTCCGACAAGCGTTGTTCGGCCATTAGATGCGATGCGAATGATGCGATTGACACCATTCACTGGTGTAATTCCGTAAATGAAATTGTCTAGAATGTTATAACCAATGGCGTTTATCTGGCCTCCAGGCCCAATGTTAGCAGCAACTGTCCGTTCGACGCCAGTCGTGAGATTCAGTCGGTAGAGGGTGGTATTCTGGATCAGATATCCACCAGCATCGCAGCTGTAGGTCGGTCCAGGGGTAGTCGTCGTCGAAGTCGAGCTGCTACTAGTAGTGCTACTAGGAGTTACAAAGGTGATGACGCTTGTTGTGCCGCCTAATCCAGTTGGCGTAATTGTAGTCAATCCAGTTTGCGTGGCGGTCGAAATAACTGTTGTAAGGAAGCCAGTGATCGGGGGCACGAAGGTGATGACGCTTGTGGTTCCTGCTGGATCTGTGGGTATGATGGTTGTGACGCCTGTCTGCGTGTCAGTTGACGTAAGAGTGATAAGTCCGCCAGTGACCGGAGGCACAAAAGTGACGACGGTAGTCGTGCCGGTCGGGTTGGTTTGAGGCAGAGTTGTCACACCGGTCTGGGTGCCCGTTGATACGACTGTTGTGACGAAGCCGGTGGGAGTCTGGACAAAAGTGACGACGGTTGAAGGGCCACCGCTGGGGCCAGGAGGGATGGTTGTCAGACCGGTGGTTGACGCTGTTGACGTGACAGTAACCGGCGTAAGAGGAGTGGAGGAAGTGACAAAAGTCACGACAGTTGAAGGGCCACCGCTGGGACCAGGAGGAAGAGTGGTCAAGCCAGTGGTAGATGCCGTTGACGTAACTGTGACTGGCGTAAGGGGAGCGCTGGGCGTGACGAATGTGATGACGCTCGTAGTACCGGCCGGGTCTGTTGGGATTATGGTGGTAAGGCCTGTCTGCGAGCCCGTCGATGTGACCGTTGTCAAGCCACCGGTGGGAGATGGGACAAATGTGACTACGGTAGACGGACCGCCACTGGGGCCGGGAGGAAGGGTGGTCAGGCCAGTACCGGTGCCAGTTGAAGTCACAGTGACGGGCGTAAGAGGTGCAGAGGGCGTGACAAATGTGATAATACTCGTAGTGCCGGCTGGATCCGTCGGGACGATAGTGGTGAGTCCCGTCTGGCTGGCCGTGGATGTGAGAGTGATCAAGAAGCCAGTAATACGCGGGACGAATGTGACCACAGTGGACGGGCCACCACTTGGCCCAGGAGGTAGAGTTGTCAAGCCTGTAGTCGACCCCGTCGATGTAACGGTCACAGGAGAAAGAGGACTCGCTGGAGGTGTCACATAGGTCACAACCGTCGAGGGACCGCCGCTTGGCCCAGGAGGCAGAGTTGTCAGACCAGTAGTTGAGGCTGTTGATGTAACCGTCACAGGTGGGAGAGGACTTGCAGAGGGGGTGACAAAAGTGACGACAGTCGAAGGACCACCGCTGGGACCAGGTGGCAGGGTAGTCAAGCCGGTGGTCGATGCCGTTGATGTGACGGTGACCGGTGGAATGGGGCTGGCTGTGGAGGTCGCAAATGTAACGACAGTGGGAGGACCTCCACTTGGACCTGGAGGAATCGTGGTGAGACCCGTTGTACTGCCCGTAGACGTGACAGTTACCGGGGCTGGCAGGGTGACGAATGTGATTACGCTGGTAGTGCCGCCAACTGGATCAGTGGGGATAATCGTCGTAAGCCCAGTTGTGGTTCCGGTAGAGGTGAGTGTAACCAGGAACCCCCTGGGAACAAATGTAATAACTGTAGCTGGGCCCCCAGGACCTCCAGGAACCGTGGTGACACCTGTAGTCGTGCCAGTAGAGGTTATCGTAACGGGGGGCGGGCTGGTTACGATTGTAACTACGGTAGTCGGGTCTCCAGATCTTCCAGGCGTCAAGGTCGTGAGACCAGTCGTTGAACCAGTTGAAGTAACCGTGACGTAGGGAGGACCAGTAACGAAAGTGACGACTGTAGTAGGGTCTCCAGGGCTTCCGGGAGTCAGCGTGGTCAGACCAGTCGTTGAGCCTGTCGAGGTGACTGTCACAGGAGGAGGGCCAGTCGCAATAGTCACTACCGTAGTAGGATCTCCAGGTCTTCCAGGAGTCAAGGTGGTAAGACCAGTCGTCGAGCCTGTTGAAGTGATCGTGACGTAAGGAGGACCAGTAACAAAAGTGACGACTGTAGTAGGGTCTCCAGGCCTTCCGGGTGTGAGAGTAGTTAAACCAGTGGTAGAGGCTGTCGAGGTGACTGTCACAGGAGGAGGGCCAGTCGCAATAGTCACTACCGTAGTAGGATCTCCAGGTCTTCCAGGCGTCAGGGTCGTGAGACCAGTCTGCGATCCCGTCGAGGTAACTGTAGTCAGTCCCCCAGCAGGAGGCGTAACAAAAGTTACAACAGTGGTAGGATCACCAGGGCGCCCGGGTGTCTGAGTAGTGAGGCCGGTGGCTGATCTTGTAGAAGTAACCGTGACGATACTGCCGAGAGGAGAGGGAACAATAGTCACGACCGTCGTCGGATCTCCAGGCCGTCCGGGCGTCAGAGTGGTCAACCCAGTTGTCGAGCCTGTGGAGGTGACAGTGGTTAATCCGCCGGCGGGAGGCGTCACAAAGGTCACGACCGTGGTTGAATCTCCAGGTCGTCCGGGAGTCTGAGTAACTAGACCAGTGGTTGAGCCTGTGGAAGTGACTGTGACAAGGCCGCCAGCTGGGGGCGTAACGAAGGTCAAGATGGTGGTAGGATCTCCAGGCCTTCCAGGAGTCAGGGTAGTCAGCCCAGTCGTCGAGCCTGTGGATGTGACAGTGGTTAGCCCACCGGCAGGAGGCGTCACAATGGTCACGACCGTAGTTGGATCACCGGGTCGCCCGGGTGTCTGGGTAACGAGGCCAGTAGTCGACCCTGTAGAGGTGACCGTGACGATGCCGCCAGTGGGACTTGGAATGAAAGTAACAACCGTAGTTGGATCGCCGGGTCGACCGGGTGTTAGAGTCGTCAGGCCAGTCCGAGTGCCAGTAGATGTGACAGTCGTTACTCCGCCCGACGAAGGTGGCACGATAGTAATGACTGTTGTAGGATCGCCGGGACGACCGGGCGTTAGTGTTAAAAGACCAGTCTGGCCGGGTTGAGTTCCTGTTGAGGTTGAGGTGACGAACCCGCCGGTAGGAGGGGGAACAATGGTCACAATCGTGGTCGGATCGCCGGGGCGGCTAGGCGTCTGAGTGAGAAGACCAGTTTGCCCAGGTTGGGTTCCCGTTGAAGTAATCGTGACAAGTCCACCGGTAGGAGGGGGAACAATCGTGATGACTGTCGTTGGGTCGCCAGGGCGGCCAGGCGTCTGGGTGAGAAGACCAGTTTGCCCAGGTTGGGTTCCTGTTGAAGTAATCGTGACAAGTCCACCGGTAGGAGGGGGAACAATCGTGATGACTGTCGTTGGGTCGCCAGGGCGGCCAGGCGTCTGAGTGAGAAGACCAGTTTGTCCAGGCTGGGTTCCTGTTGAAGTAATGGTAACTAGCCCGCCGCTAGGTGGCGGCACAATGGTAACGACCGTTGTAGGATCTCCAGGCTTGCCGGGCGTTAGAGTCAGTAATCCGGTCTGACCTGGGCGAGTGCCTGTAGACGTAGATGTTACTAATCCTCCCGTGGGAGGAGGTACGATAGTAACGATTGTAGTTGGATCTCCAGGCTTGCCAGGCGTTAGAGTCAGCAATCCGGTTTGACCTGGCTGGGTTCCAGTCGACGTAGATGTTACTAGTCCGCCTGACGGAGGAGGTACGATAGTGACAACCGTGGTAGGATCGCCGGGCTTTCCAGGGGTGAGGGTAAGTAGTCCCGTCTGTCCAGGTTGAGTGCCAGTAGATGTAGAAGTAACTAATCCTCCTGACGGAGGAGGTACAATTGTGACAATTGTAGTTGGATCTCCAGGTTTTCCAGGGGTGAGGGTAAGTAGTCCCGTCTGTCCAGGTTGAGTGCCAGTAGATGTAGAAGTAACTAATCCTCCTGACGGAGGAGGCACAATTGTGACAATTGTAGTTGGATCTCCGGGCTTGCCAGGGGTAAGGGTAATCAACCCGGTCTGGCCAGGTTGAGTCCCTGTTGACGTAGAAGTTACCCGCCCACCAGGTGGAACAATCGTGACGATGGTAGTCGGATCGCCGGGCTTTCCAGGGGTAAGGGTAATCAACCCAGTCTGGCCGGGTTGAGTCCCTGTCGACGTGCTGGTTATCAGACCTCTAGTAGCGGAGGGGAGACAAACAATCTGAGTGCCAGTGCGGTCAGATCCCGATGGAGGCACCGTCAAAGTTGTCAATGCTGTGCCGGATCCAGGAACTGTTATTGTTGTGCAGGGACCGTTGAAAGGGGCATCTCCGTTGTTGGGTGTGGGCTTGAGGATGAGCTCAGTGCCTGTCTGATCACTTCCAGTAGGGGGAATCGTCAACGTCGTCATAGTCGAGCCCGCATAGGGAGCGGTGACCGTCGTCAGGCTTCCTGTGAATGGAGATTTGCCGCCGGCGGTTGGATTACCTGAGCCCGGCAACCACGGCATATTCGACTCAAGGGGCGAGCAGATGTACTTGATTCCTGTAGTTTGTCCATTTTGAGGGGGAATGACAATAGTAGAAGGCTCTGATCCGGGAGGCAGTGCTGCCGTGACCGTGACGCAAGGACCTGTGTAGGGCGATTGGGTATTGCTGAAACGTTCGCATGATTTGTCAGAAACATCTCAACTGGTCCAAAGCTGGTTACTTACACAGGAGAAAGGTAGGTGACCGTAGTCGTAGCCAAGAAGTCGGAAGTCACCAAGGTAGGAGCGTTGGTGACTTTGACTGTAGTGCCCATAACAGTGAATATAGTATTCAGAGAAACTGAAGTGCTGAGATGGAGCGGAATGCAATGAACAATCTCTATGGGCTGAACGGCCGTAGGACTCGCACCAGGCCCAGTGGTTGGACAGTCCGTACTTGCTAAGCCCGGCCATGGGAGAAGAGCCATGAAGCTCATGGCAGTAGCAAGGGCAGAAATTCGTTTCATGTTGATCGACACCTGTTATGAGGCGCTCGATGCATGTAACGATGGCTGGGTACAGAGGTAGATCTTTTAAGAAACTTTGAAAGAAAAATGGATGAGATGGTTATTAGCTGAGTTGAGCACCAGGACTTGAGAAATCAAAGGTTCTTATAATGCACTTTTATTCAACTTCAAGATGCTGAAAGACGCGACATTCTTGTCAGAACACATCTAGGAGCAAACGAACCTTCGTCGACTTTCTCACCCGAGCTGAGTGAAAGTCTGTGGTTTCCGTTTCTAACCTCAACGAGACCCGGATTCTATCCAGAAACAGCTCAACCCTTGACGGCTGAGCTGGAAACAGGTAGCATCATCAGTACCACTGACAGAGGTATCCCGGGAAGCCGGGACGATTGCTAATATTCACTCCATTCGACCTCGTATCGTTTTCATACAGGGCTTTACTAGGGCGAGCTCTAGCGACCGCTTCACGATGACGAGAAGATAGACTACAGCTCATTGCGTCCAGCAGGACCCTAAGCGTAGCTGTGCTTCAACTATGGCAAGCGGAGGTAGCGGAGAAAAAGGACAAAACGAAAGGTCTTTGCTAGACGCGGAACCGAAATCTAGCTTATCAATAAGGAAGTACATGTAGTCTTGCTAGGTATGAGTTGCTGAGCTTTCGGAGATCGCATGCCGTTTGCTGCCTATTTGTGGCGAGATAGAGACTTATTTGGGTAGTCTGCCAAAATCTCTAAATTGCAGTGCGTGGTGGTTCTGCTTGCGGACATCCTTGTCCAGCTGAGTATGAAGCTATTGCCACAACTTAAACCTCAGAGACGGAACCCCAGCGTTGGATGGCAGCTGCTTCGAGCTTACGTCCAGACAAACTTTGCCCATAGTTCAGACGAGCGGCCCTAGATTCTCGTCGCCCACATTGCGATATTCGGCAACGGATCCTGTAGGTTGAGCTTGCTTCCTGCAAACATCGAAACTCATATGGTAGAGTCATTGTGCTGTGGGGCTCGTGATCTTCCAGTATATTGCCCTATCCTGAGTGGAACTGACTTGGCCATTATCCAGAACCAGACATTTGCCAGAGGAGTTCGGAAAGGGAAGCAAGTACAAGTCCTCAAGGCGGACGGACTACCAGTCAAAAGATCGCAAACTCCACCGGGTAGGCTGTTTTGACACCTGAACGCTATCTGCATGCAGTATGGCCTCACATAATCAACACACTAGCTGGAAATGGGCAAAAAGAAGAAGCAAAACCCCCTCGTCGACGAAGTGATGCTGATTTCCTCGGATTCACTTTAGGCACACTCTTTCTCTAGTCAGGTAAGTCAAGCATTGTGTGCACTGGAAAGGCATGATGGCACTTGCGCTACCTACGGATCGGATATCGCAGTTGGCCATAGGGATATATAAAAGCTCATTTCCGGAAAGACAAGGCTGTTGAATCAAGAATTTTGGCAGCCACTCGTACATCATTCAGCTCAGGCAGTATTGATCATCATCATCGATATGAAGTCTTACATCGTTCTACGTCTTATTCCCCTTGCACTTGCTGCGCCCCCTGTTGTCGATCCATTCCTTGAGGTGTGCGGAGTGTCCGTCACACTCTCGACGGTCACCAACACTCTCTTACTACCGCCGCAGACAATCTCTCTCTGCGAGAACTCAAACTGCGCCATTCCCCCAATCACAGCTGGGGAAGGGTTTTCTCCTGCATCGACGCAGCACTATGAGGTGCCAAATACTCAGCTTCCGCAGGAAACCGTCAGTCAGGTCCCTGGAGGCAGCAGTCCCGCTGGCCAGCCTGCTGCCACCCAGCCTGGTGGCAGTCTCCCGTCGGCGCAGCCTCCAGCTACCAACGCCCCCGGAGGGCTTTCATCTGCTGCCAATCCTGCCGGAGGCTCCGGCGGCAATGCGCCTGCTGCCACTGCCTCGAGCTCTGGCAAGACTCCTGCCGTAACTACATCGTCTGCGTCTCGATCATTTGGCGCTCAGTGGGATGAACTTTTGGTCATAGGGGTCATTGGCTGCGTGGTTCTGGCGTCCCTTGGACTTGGGTTGTAACGTAATTACGTTCTTCTGAGTCCTTCTGGAAGACAGGGATTCGGTTCTAGGAATGACGGTGGAATGACCTGATATGTCTTGTGTTGCACCTGCGCTTGTAACTTCTGATGCCGACTCTTAATTGGGTGGAACGAGCCGGAGACCTTGCACTAAGTATTCTGATTTCAAGCCAGGCGCCTCTTGATGGATGGGTAGTGCCCCATAGGAAGGGGGAACCGAGAACATGCCTCGGCAATACACAGAGGGACTCAATAGACAATGCCCAAGTGGTTTTACCTTTGGATTTCTTCCGTGGGAAATCATCAAGTCGGCACGAAATGTCTCTGATTCGTCACATGCCGTAGACGACTCTCGGAATTTACTGTGTAACATTAATCATGATGCATGTCCCTTGGTCATCTGACGGCTGACAGTTGAGACACGATCTAGAAAGAAGACCGTTGAGTCGATATTGCCGCTGGAAGAGGTATGTAGGTACGTAGCAATATGTCTTTTGAACCCTTGCGCCGATCCTTCGGGCCTACGGGCGTTGGTGACCATGACTCCGGGCCGCGTCCGCACTAGGCCTTGTTGATCCCACCGGCTAGACAGACTGCCAGCCGTGTCTTGCTCATGTTCATACCTAATCCATCCATCCAAATCAACACCCCCTCCCCTCCCCCCACCCACCTAGTTTTGTCCACTCACGGATACGGAACTCGATTCTTTGGATCTCTTTGCTTCGCCATCCAGACCAACATGTCTTACGCATGGTATGTCGCTCTTTCTGTGTTTCATACACAAAAACGGGCAAAGTCAATCTGCCGCTCAGCTCACCGAAGCAGCGCCCCGGGATCTCGGCGAATTGAGTTGCTTCCTTCCATCGCTCCTGCGCCTAACCCGAAGCCGACTGGTATCTGAGAGACGGAGAGTCATGAACCTGGAAGGTCGTAATCTGGGCATCCACGTACTAGTCTGGATGCATGATGCAGGGCTTCCATTTTTATGAAGAAAAGAGTGCTTGCGGAGTACCCATCATCTTGGCTCTGCCTCAACTCATTCACACGACATAGGACGCTTTCTGATCAAGAGAGGTTCCAAAAGCAGGCCGATACCTGCAGGGTGATAATTATAGTGTATGTGAATGGTCGTTGCGTTGGCTCCAGACTGCTAGGAGCCCACACCAGAATGTCAGCTTTGCCCGCCGGGAGTCGGCTTGGCCATTGGGACCTCATCCGACACTCTAAACCATATGTGGAAAGCGATAAAACAGACTAAATCTTGGCTGGATTGGAAAAGGTCAAGGGCTAGAGGCTACCCAGAAAGAATCTTGTTCGTATTGGGTGCTACCTCTTATGTCACTCACCATGCCAGTGAATCCTTGAATTATCTAAAGAGCAAGACTGTCCAAGGGTGGCGATTTTCATCTTGGTGTTCTTACAACGTAACATTGTCATTCGAATTATTTTGGCAAGTACTATGACTAGTACGGATACTCCCACAGCACTCTTTCGACTTTTGCTGGCTATGATGATGACGATCATAGTCATGTCAATGATATTTGCCACAGCGCCGACCTCGGGGAAAGCCATCTCAAGATGACTGGCTCCTTCGAATTGGTCTCACGTGGCTGCGCCAGAAATCCATGAGGACAGAACGTGGACCCCATTTCCAGGCGGTCGGAATCGAATAGCAGGTCCTGAGGGCCAGAGATTCGAAGGGTTACACAAGACCCTGTGTCTGAAATCTTAACGTTGGTAATAGGGCGTGGTCTGGAACGCGACTTTCGGGGGTCTCGGAAAGTGGGTGGTCGCACTTCTCAGGGCTGTGTAAATAGCGTGATAAAGACCATAATGACAGGCTAGGGCGAAACAGGTGGGGGCCCCTGGGGAAAGCGGCCGACAAGCCATGTTTGCACACCGAGCACTCAGAGAACATGGTGATCTCGGCTGGCCCTGCCAAGTCCTGCGTCCGGATGCGGCGAAGGATGAACAGGAAGGGGTTCCCACTGAGGCTGTGAAAGGCTGACCCATTGAAACTCACCAAAGTCACATCAACAGCACCTAGCAGAACCTCCCAACGGGGGCGTCTTTTGGGATTTCAACAATGATATTCGCAGCCGAGCAGTCTTACAAAATGTGCGGGACTTGGTGAGCTCGGCTTGTACAAATAGTTAGCTGCAAGGCATTTTGAGTAGTTGTCCTTTAGTACGGCCACATGAGGAAGTATTTCGCCTGCAATAGCAGCGGATAAACCCCCGTTGCCCTGGTCGCTGACCGCGCTAGGAGCTCACAGCCATTGCCTTATTCGGACTGTTGCGGACCTACTTCAAGCTCATTCTATGAGAATAGGCCAAGCTGTGAGCTGTCTAGGTATGTCTGCCTTTGCCGTCTCGTGCCTTCGCGTTCGCGTTCGCGTTCAAGTTCGCGTCCGCGTTAGCCTTCGGCTCCCAAGGTCGACTTTCTGCCTCTATGGATCGAGAGTCTCTACCCTCATTCAAAATTTCTTTGGAATTCAGCATCTCTGTCAGAGATGCGTCCTCAATTGCCGGATGGAATTGGATCATATCAGTGAGGGAGGGAAGGCAAATCAGGTGACGCAGTGCGTGGCAGCCTGTGGCAAACCTATATGGCGAGCTTTTTGCAGCCTTGCACAGCATGGTGTTCCAGACATTATATTTCAAACGACCAGGGAAGTCTACCGGCAGTATGGAAATTCCTGTGGCTTGATGTTGAATAGGGTGTTGGCCGAGGTGTTGATATCTGACCGAACGAAGTAAGATGGATTTGCCTTTACTGCCAGCCTCCAGAGTCGAATTAGACCACAGAGGATTGAAAATAGGGCAGATGCGTCAGGCTCAAAAGAGAAGTGGCCAAACTGAATCTGTTTTCGGAACATCAGGAGTATCTAGGTATGGTAATGAGCAAGCCGTCGACTGTCTCCGGGCTGCGAGCGAGTACTAGAGGTAGGAGGAAACGACCATGGCCCCAAAAGGGTGCCATATGATCATGAAGGTCTTGGGAACATACTTGGAGTGTTGCCCTTAAGCTAACAATACGTTCCAACGCCAAGTCAAATGTCTCTATTCCCCCATGCTCCCTAACGACGGGAACACCTACTCGCGATGAGGCGGCATGTCTCTGAACTTGAGAACGACTGTGATTTGATGGAGATGATGCGAGGCGGAAGCACCGCCCCACACATCAAAGGAAAAGAAAATGAACACCCCAGCCATATAAATCTTACGACAATTGGAAACCTCCCTGTGGACCAGGCTTGTCAAACGAGCATACACCTGCATGACCCCTCTCTTTGATCCATTTTCGTTTGATTATCACTACGACAAGGAACGAATAAGGTCCATCGTCATTGCGAAATCAATACCGGCTGATACCTAGACGTGAATGCCGTCCAGCTGTTCGGAGTTCAGTGATGATCTATTGTTTGATGCTGAGGGCTCGAGATAAAATCTTAGGAGGTTCGGTGTTAAGGCTGGGAGATAGGTCTCACTAGTGACTGCGACCAGTGGCCAATCGTAATAGAGCTCTTTGCAAAATTACCGAGACTAAGAATTTAGCACTGTGGTAGTAATCTCACCGAAGCCTTAGCAAGTTAGATTGGATAATCATCACGCGTGCCTATCAATCCCGCACAGTCTGTCAGTCGATCCCCCCTCCCACCCGGGGTCAGGCTTCACCACGAATTCATACACGGATATGCGAATTCTTTTGGCTCTCCTAGTCTGGTACAGATGTCGAAGATAAGCCATGATCCTTGTGTGACCTCGATATATTACATTCCGGCATTCGTCTTTTTGAGCATTCCAGTGTACTTACGGAAATATCCTCACTGGAATTAAGCCCCAAGCGCCGATCTCAGAACATTGACACTGTCAGATGAGGATTATCCCACAGCCCTCACCACCTTAGTCCAAGCTTTAGCCATAGTGAGATCGATGGAGCCCTGGGCTAGCCAACAGGCCCGGGAGATCATGGGCATTGTCCGCAAAGGGACCTGTGTGTGCGATTCGTCTCGACCTGTTGCTATCGGAAAAAGACTACGAAAGCCTCAAAATTACGATACAGGCAAAGCCCAGCAAGAAGCCAGACGGCACAATGTCCAAGATGGCGGCGTTTGTGTTTCGGCTCTTGGACTAGATCTCTCCGCCGCTTTTGGCGATATACTAGCCATACCAAGCAAGGTACATACTTGCCTGCAGGGGTCAACCGTCGGCAAGATGCCACAGACTCAGGTACCTGGCAGTTCGTAGTTGCATGTCCACGTAACACGGGCAGGTCCCTCACAATGCGGCTGCGGAAGCGCCCGTGCTGCGATCTGCAACAGTGTTCTTCGGGGCAAGGATACGTTGAGCAGTCGTCAACCTTGGAATTGGGCCCAGATAGTGATGATGAGGCGCGGGAAGGGGGAGGGTGGTACCGCAATGATGCCAATGACAAGATTGAAGGCGTTTGTGCACATTTCTGTGGCGCAGAATCTCATCATCCATGAATTTAGTGTCTCTCGGAACGTATCTGCAAGATCGGATCTGGTGTTGGCCTAGGTAGGCAAAGAGCTATCGTTACAACCCGTCACCTTGGATAGCGAAGTTATTAGTCGGTGCGCCTCGAAATTTGAGTCAGATTTTAGTTCAACGATTGAATGTTGTCTCTGTTTGACTCCAGATTCCTAGAGTTTGACTTATATCCGTACGCTACGGAGAATTGCACTCATGATTGACTACTTTAGTGTTGATCAGGACCCCAGGTTAGCGAGACGATCGTGCCAGGTTTGATAGATACACTAAAGATATTTAAACTTTCAGGAACATCTTCAGCTTGGCCATTGTCAAATTAGGGCGATTGATCACGATGGCGGTCGCGATAGTTACGTGCGGTTGCAGCGTTAAAATGATGCCATTCCATTGCCCCCTCGGCTCATCGGCATAAAGATAGGCCATCGTGACTGTCTCTGATTGCAACGTTCATCTTCTCAATATGGTGTATTCATTTCGCATACGGCCGGCTCAAAATACTTTCGACCCTCGCGAATCTAGTTTGTTATATTGTGGGGGGAGGAAGACGAGGACTTGCATACAGCTTGGATGATATGATCATGGTCCCCGACATCCGGAAGGTGAAGCAGTCAAACGAGTACGTAGCACCTCCTTGGGTGCCAGCCAAGAGCTTGCCTCTCAGACGCCGCAAGAAAAGAGCCATTGGCGTTGCGTGCCACGGAATGCATTCTTTCCGAATTGAAGCTAAGGGATCGATCTCCCCTCAAGTTCTTAGGCTTGCCCAACCCCCTAGACGTGGCGTCTATGTCCTTTCCACACCTTTTTTGTCCATTTCCATCTAGGGCACCCCGGACCGAGTATTTGCCTAGAACTCTCGTAAAATTATAGACAGCCAGCGACATGGGATTTCAACATCGTTAAGTGATTGCCCCAAAGACCCATCTTGTCAACCCGCCGTGGCGCTCCCCTCCTCCCCCAACCCTCCTCCCCCAACCCCCGGCGGCCATCTAGCTGGAAGCACGCTATCTTAGGTGCCGTAGACAACCAGCTAAGAGAAACAAGACACGGCGTCAAGCCTTAGTGGAACAACCCAAACAACCACCGGGAATCGGACAAATCTCTCGCACTTGTCCCGCTGACATGCCGCCCATCTAGCATACAGGGCCCTTTACTATGCTACCGGGCGATGCTCTATCACGAACAGATGCAGGGATTGAGGCTAGTTCCAACTGTAAATTCAAGGCCCCATGTCAGCTCAGTTCAGCTCGACGGCAAAGTTTGCCTGATTTGCCGGATATGTAGAAGCTTGCGTTGATGCTCCAGGAGGTGGCCCCCTCATCATCAGTTTCATTCTGGGACTGACAGCAAAGTTTTTGGAAATCCCCCCACGCCCATTCCGGACACGGAAGACGGGGGAAATTGCCTACCAGATCGTGCCACCGGCAGTGTAAATGTTGATCACGATGGACAGACATCAGTCGCCTCAATATCCGATTGGATGGACTAGCAGGAGGGTGAAATACCCACAAGAGCTTGCCCACTACGGAATTCGACGCTAGACTGACAATTGAGCAGCAACTGCTTTTGAATTATGTTTTCGACAATGTAGGTGATCGTCTCTGGGTATAAGTTCTGGCAAGAAACCTTGGGCCTGATATGCCTTCTCACATCGAACCCCCTGCATTCATCAGACAAACGACCCACTGCTATTTACCCCTTCCTTCCTTGCTTTGCTGAGCGGCAATCATGTTCCACCCAAATTATCTTGGCCCACAAGACTGCCTTGTCCGAACGTCAACCTCAATGGAGGCTTGGCAAGGTCCGCCTCAGGATGCCTGCAGCACACATGTAGATGGTAATTATTAGACTTCCCGCGGTGTTGGCAGAGTTAGCTGGACGAGAAACTGACTTAGTCCGAAGGAACACTAGACTTTCGTTCATACATCTCTTCGACCAACGATAGTAGAGGTTGGGCATACGCTTTGCCGTTACCCAGCATCGATTCACCACAATGGGACCCTTCTCAAAGGGAAATGCTAGCACCGCTGCATCTCCATAACAGGAGACTTGAAGAATATGGACACGACTTCTCGAGGCCACGTGTTTTATCTATGCCCGAATACGAAACACACATCCATCACGATGGCTATGGACAACCGGAAAGGCGTCCGCAGATCATTACAGGCCTCGGGAGGCATAGGTCTGATCCACGGCTAAGCTCGGAGGCGATTTTCGACCAGCCGACAAGCAGATACTACAAACCATCCTCAGACGTCAATGTCGACAATGTCTCGCAGATGTCAGACTTGTCCCCACGGCCGCTGATGGAGTATGAGTCAAATACCGGTCGCGGTGCCGTGAACTTGTACCCAAGACCATCGCCGACTCGTCATCGACACCGATCCCACTCAGTGGCAGAAGCTCCCAGATCCCCACCTCGAGATCGTAAATATCTTTTTGTCAACCGAACCGTCAAGGATGGGAAGTTGATTTCAAGGGGAGTGCAAGCATCGGGCTCCTGGAAGACAATAGACCGGCGGAAAAAGGCAGCACGTGACGATGAAAGACGAGTTGCCAAGGCTACGACAGAGGCGATCTCGAGTTTGAGAGACCACTTGGGAAGGATGCTTGGAATGGGACTGTCATTTTCGGATTTGATGGAAGAATTAGGTCGAGAAGCACAGAAGACTCAGATATCTTCATAGCGTTTCTGTAATGACAAGATAAGCAAGGTCTCTGAAGCAACAATAGTCATGGATGATTTTCTATTTAGGACCACAGCGCGAGTTTGCAGCAATGAAGCTCGACCAAGTTTTAGTCACAAGTATTCGACTTATCAAGTTCGGGACAAAATAATTAGGTCTATCTTATAATAAACTTACGCTGCAATACCTCATCTGGCGATCTTAGTTTGAGCTTGCAAATGTTGCATCCACACGTAATGTTACGTGAACTCTGAGCCAGCTTTTTCTCCATGTTGGTTCTATATGGGCTTCGTGTACCAAGTGGTGGCTTTTTACGTGACCTTCGACTTATAAGCCTTGTCAGTCGTCAACAAAAACGTTGAACATAGCAGATAATGATGCGGCAATGGCTTCCACAAGGCAGGGAGTACTGAAGCATCAATCGAGTACTAAAGTTTTGGGAATCGGGAAAGTCTGTATCAAAGAATTCTTGATTTTCGGGCATATGTTCTGATTAGGCTCACACGTTTGAGATGAATCTAAGCTTTGCATTGGACGGCAATATTTGAGAGGCAGGTGCGGAAGCTGTGATGAAATCTTTCTCAGACGCATGCCAAGCGCTCTACAAGACCATCAGCAAGCCGGCGATAACCAGCACCCACTTGCCGGACCGGGCGGCCTGGACACTGGCCGTTGGGACTTGTACGATCGCTGCGCCTGAAGCTATACCTCTGTTCGTTGGTGAAGCTCTATTGCTGCCGTCAGAATCTTCTCCTTCTCCTCCTACCCCTCCTCCGCCTCC